GAAGGAATCAAGCGTTTCGGGCATGTTCGGTGCAAATCTGCGGCGGCAGCTCCTCGGTGAATACGCGCTGCTTTGGCGCCGTCAGGATCGGCAGCGCATATTTCCGACCACTACTTATGACGACTGCCACTTGGTCGGAGAAGCCGCTGTTTAAGCTGATCAGGTAACGGATTGATTATGATTTCATCCTCACCACGTATGAAAACGATCTCGAGATGTTGAGGTAGGCTGCGTCGGATTGGCAGGCCGCGCAGATGTTGCCCATGTCAAGGGTGTTGTGCGCCCCCCAAAAGTCACCTGTCACCTGAACAGCGTGGGTGCTGTCCACGTAGTAAGTAACCAGCTCGTCTGCCGAGTCGGCAGACGGAAACGCAGGAGGTGTAACAATAGTTGGTGCTGGCGGTGGTAAGTACGAGGCCGCATTAGCATGCCACGGCATGCCCGAGCCCCGCGCGGTTGCGCTGGAGGCCCCCCCTGGCGCGTCCAGCACAGAGGTCTGGCGCGATCACGGCTCGCTGTGCGGTTCGGCGGATGCGGTGTCCAGTCGGTCGAGGCCGCACTTGTCGCGCACCACTCTGAGGTGCTGCGCGTGCCAAACCAGGCTCATCATAGCTTTCCGCCGCCGGCTGTGTTTCAGATTCTTCTAGCGTGGGCGGTCGCGGCTCCCGATCGATCCGCGTCGACGTCTGAATCGTCGAGGACATCATCAGTTTCTGATGCTTCTGGGTCGCGTAGGAGGCTCGTCTCCAGGAAACTTGGGGATGCCTTCTCTAGTAACGTTGACGTAACGACGGGCACCGCGAGCACGCTCGAAGTCAATCTTGAGGTCGTCAAGATAACAGTTGACCTTCTCGATGCCTCGGCTCTCTATCTACGGGGCACTGCGCATTTGCTCAGTGGATACACGCCACAACGCTCCACGCACGTTAATCCAGGCGCCACCCGAGGTGGATGGGATGATCACCAGGCCCAATTCACTTCCCCGAGCCCACTCGCCCCTGTCTCCATACGAACACGAACTGGCCTTCTGTGGAGGTCGGAGGTATGCAGCGTCGTGCGCGGAAGACCCGGAACAACCGCGTTCGGCCATCCATGGCAGTCCAAGCTTTCAGATCGGCTCGGCATAGGTCTACCGCTCGGTGGCTCGGTGGAAATCTTGCACAGGATCAGTAAACAGGTATTCGAGATCACTGGGATCATCGGAGAACAGTGTCGCTGGTAAACGTTGCAAAAAGCCGACAACCTGTTGCATAGGTGTAATCCCACTTCGTCTACGGCAGCGGTTTCGGACAAAACAACACTACTCCCCATAACATACCACTCGTCTACACTATCCGGGGCTACCTTTGAAACGGCTAAACGAGTTTGTCGTTTCCATTATTTCCCAGCGTGTTCCGTGCGACCGCCTTGCCGTGCAAGCATGCACCGTTGTTTTATATGGCATCGGCAAACGTTCCCTGGAACTCCGTTCCAAGATCTACAAGAACCACTTCCGGCATGCCAAAAACACGTGCCCATGTGCGTACACATGCTTGCCGTACAATATCCGCTGGCTTCATTGCCCCCGCATGTCCAACCAAGTAAAAATATGCGCCCCAACAGAAGATTGTGCTTCGAGCATGCGGCGCATCATCAAGAACACTTGACCGACGAAATCAACGCCAACAACATGGTTGAATCGATGCGGCTTGGGAACAGCAACAGGACGGCGAGCATAGGGTCGTTCGTGCGCATCACACTCGTCGCATTTGAAGTTTGTCAGAACCCAGCGTGCTACTTCAGGCCGGAGGTTGCCCCGTCTCAGAAGCCGAGGAAACTTTCGATTGCCAGCGTGGCCAACACTATTGTGAGCAAGTTTGAGATCGGCTAGCTGGCCCAGTGTAGGTGTCCAGTCGGGCTGAGCGGGCACTTCGTCGTCGCCGCCAGGTTCGGCGCTGGGATCATCGACAGGTATGCATTCGGGCCCATCTTCTTCAGGAGCTGCTTCCAGAGGAAGACTGAGACTAATGATGTTCACTTAAAGTGTCTGCTTGATCTGCTTCGCTTGCTGATAGGGAATTGCACCAATGCCGTCCTCGTCAGGCTCCGAAGATCAAATGCATGCCCCACTGGTGGCCCGCCGCAAAATCTGTCGCCATTGTCGCTCGCGGGCCTCGGCTGCCCCGACCGAGCCCCGCGGAACGGCGGGCTGCCAAGATCCACCTGGAGCACCCTCGGGCACAGCCGCGCCCCTGCCAGAAACTGGACCAGCTGGACTCAGATCAATAGCGAATAGCACATGGAGAGATAAGCTGCCCAACCTGACTGAGGCAAGCACTCTGAAGACACATGCTCGCCAGCAAAGCGCCGGCGAATTTCGCGCCAGCAGCGGCTTCGCGGCGCAAGACGGCGCGGCCAGCACATGTCATGTCCAGAGAACGGCCGCAGAAATCATCGCACCAAATGTCCTGAATAAATTCGGCAGTGCCATCAGAATCGACAAACTCTGTCATCCGCTCGTCGGTCTGTTCGTTTGCAGGAGGTGAGCCGACGCCGTCGGCAGGAGTGCAAAGCTCGTCGCGGGGCTCGCGATGCAATCGGACATGTGCCCTGCGACCGTCGCGCAAACCTTCTGCCCGCGAATCCTCCGGACGTCGGTCCCCTCCCCGACCGCCCCGAAACCGCCCCCGCCCGCGAACGATGTTCTCGTGCATCTCGCAGTCGGCCGCGCACTCCGCTCGGCGTCTGAGCCCTTCTGGCGTCGCTGGCTCGCCTGACTCGTGAGTCTTCACGTGCCGCTTGCGCCGCTTGAAGGCCCTGTCGCAGACCTCCTGGAAGGCGGGGCCCGCGCGCGTCCTGAGCGCCCCCCGCCCCTGCCAGCAGCGCGCGCCAGTCCGAATGGAGTCCTCGGCAAGGGGCCTCACCCAGCGCATCTGGTAATCGTCGCGCGTCCACCGGAACGACGCGGCGCTGCCCCGATGGCGCGTGGACTTCTCGGGATGCGAGCGCGCGGCCTGCTCCGCCCTCTCGGGGCCCGCTCCGTCGGGCAGCGCCCTTCTTGCCAACCGTAAACCACTCCCCGCTGAAACCCTTCAGAACTTGGGAGGAATGCGTCGGGTCGCGCGGCTGAGGCGCGGGCGGATCAGCCTCGCCACCCAGACTCATGGCGCCCCCGAGCAGGTTCTCGCGCGCGTTCGTGCCGATGCGTGCTTCCGCGCGACCCCTCATGGCCGCGTGGTCCAGGATGGTGAGAAGCTTCAAGCACAGGTGGCATCATTTCCACGTCAGCTTCTCTGGAGTCATCAGGGGCTGGCTGGACCTCGCGGTGCTCGGGGGCTCCGGCTGCGGCTCCTTCTCGGCGAGGACGCGCTCCGCGCGGCCCAACATCGCGAGATGTCAGGAGAGGCGGCGGCAATGTTGATCGCGATGTGTCTGCCAGCGCCGACTTCATGTACCCTCGACTGACTGCCGTCGAGCGCCTCCCATGTGATGGCGCCCCCTGGCAAGCCAGGAACCATGCCGAGCTGCCCGGGCATCTCCACTGGGCGCAGTAGTGGCACATCGCAGACAATCAGATGCACCGCGAGGGCACCGCAATTCTACGCCGCGCCGACAAGCGGGGTCCAAATGGAGAGAAACTCGGTAGATCCGCCGACGCCCATGGCGCCCATGTCAAGTGTCGGTATCTGCACAGGCCCCAAGCCATAAGCATCTCCTAGATACCCCACCATTTGTTCAAACTGATCTTTTCCGCAGACCCCGCGCCGGTCTGCAGCGCCATCTTGACCTGAAATCCGCCGAAGGTCTGCCCGCCGCAGTCGGCGGTAGCTGCGGTAGAAGAACTGACCCCCGGATACGTCGCGCGCCCCCGTTGGCGGGCGTCGCGTGGAACGTCTGCTTCGATGGGGGGCAGCCTGGAAGCCGCCGAAGCCTGCATGGCGCTCGCGCCCTCGCTCGCCCGGCTCGCTCGCGCAGCCCCGCGCCCCGTCTTCCAACGCCGGGCGCATTTCGAGCGACTCATCAGTTTACTTTTGGCCCAGCGCTTCGGTCGATCACGCCCAGCCCGCGCCCCTCGACGCTTTCCCTGGCGGGTGCCTTTGGACTTGCCGTTCGGGAGGGGCTGCTTGAAGAAGCCGCGCCCGAGCTGCCGCTCGTGCAATTTTTGTAGTACTTGACAGTACTTGGCATAGACGGCGACAGCCTCGCCTTCACCCGGAAGCACACCCTCGGGCGCGTCTCCAACTGCGAGGGGAACTTCTTCGTCGCCCATGCACGTGAGAGCCTTATTCAAGACATAGTCTCTTTGTTGGCATGGCAGAGTGAACGAAAACTGTTGCATGAAAATCCAGTGAACGTCCTCGTGGTCAGTCCTGTTCATCATGATCCTCTTCGTCTCCTTGATAACCGTCGAAATGCGAAGGGGAACTCAGCCCATGAATGCGATGGCCGCCTTTTCCTGAGGGTAGTGGGCGTTCAAGCTTACGGAGCATCTCACTCACCACATCATCGGCCTGACTCACCCTTCGTGGATCGACACCAACGGTTCCGCTGTCACTGTGGAATGTGAGGGAGTAACTGTATGGAATGCAGAAAGACACGCAGCACGAATAGGGGGACCCGTGCTGAGAGATAGCACGTTGTCTTTCCTTTTACGGGGGCTCGCGCGCGCCCGCGGCCAGCGCGCCAAGTAGCTCAAGGGCCCTGCGAACCAAAGCAGCGGCAGGGCAGAGGAAGTGAGAGCGAGGCGCAGGAGGAAGAGAGGCTGAAATACGCATAACCCTTCTCTGGGCCCCATGCCCGCCACCCTGGGCACGAACAAAAACGGGCCCCGAGAGAAACGGGACCTGGACCTTCCGACCTAGCCCCAAAACCAACTCTGCGTCCTGAGTCGCTTTCTGACGGTCACGGGGCCCGTGGAAGGCCCCAGGAGCTCGAACACGGCGAAACACCTGAAGACCCGCTTCCCTCAGGATCCGTCTCTTTCATGGCGAGCACCCCTCCCTGCGGGCGCGGTGCCGGTCCTCCTGCGGCGGCTCCGCCGTGGGAGCTGGCCGCCGCCGCTTGCGCCTGGGGTTTGTGGGCCAGCCGCACGCGGGCCCCTGAACCCTTGCAGGCCGTGCGCATCGTGTGACCGATCCCTACGGCCCCCACTTCTGGGAAGGTGATGCAGCTATTTGTTCAATCTCTTGCCCCCCTTCCCGCCAGGGCCCGGTCTCCACGGCGAGTCGGCCGCGGCCGACCTCTTGCAGGTCGTAGGCGTCGTTGGACGGATCCCTGCTTTTTGGTCCGCGGCGCCTTGGATCCAAGCTGCGGTCGGAGCTGCGGCAGGAAGGCAAAGGGGGAGAGGGCCGCGGACGGCCCGAGCGCCCTCAAAGCGTGAAGCCCATCGGGGAAGAAGACGAGACAGATCCCTACACACCCCTGGGGAAATGGTGCAACTTGTTGTGCAATCTCGTGCCTCCCCTCCCCCCCAAACCCCGATTTCAATGGTGAGTCGGCCGCGGCCGACGGCGTGAAAATTGGATCGCGCGGCGCCCCGCGCGAACATTGAAGTTGAAGGGCGCGGGGAGACGGACCGCGCGCGAGAGTTGCATCACTTTTCCTGGCGTGTCCCTGGCCCCACTGGCCGACTTACCCACCTGGGCGGGGAGTTATGCCTGTTCCTTCGGATCTCGCGGGGCCTATCCCCGCCTAGGAGGGTGGGCTGGTGGGGCTGAGGTACGGCAGGTTCGTGTCGTGCCGACCCCAGCGTTGGTTTTTGACACCGCAGGGATCGTTCAACCTTGAACGATCGGCCGCTGCCGCAACGTCCGATCGTTCAACATCGATCGATTCTGGGTCGCCGGCGGCGTTCAACCTTGAACGTCCGCGCTGGGGTCGCCGCTGGTCGACACGACGCAAACCTATCGTACCATGGCCCAGTTGGGATGGGGATAGGTCAGACGATGCTGAGGTCGGGCTTCCGAGATAAACGGCTGGGGCTCAGAGCTCGTGGAATTGCCTGCGGCTGGGTGATCCCCAGCGGATTGGATCCGATACCCCAGCGTCGACTGGACCCGTGATTCGGGGTGCAGTCAAGCTGCACCAAGATCGCTGAATAAGGCACGACGAGCAACAACCGTGAGAGGACCTAAGAGACGGCGAGCCCCCTTCCGAACCGGACCTGCTCCCTATTTCAGCATCTTCACTGTGCCGCTGCAGGTCAGATTTCTGAAAAACCTGCTGGGGCTCAGAGCTTGAAGGTCGCCTGCGGCCAAGTAAAGCCCTGGCGGGGTGTGTGCGATATGCGCCACCAGAAGACATCCACCTCCACACTGCTGGAATCCTGCCCTTCGTCCGAGGGGAGCAATGGATGTGGATATTTCCACACCCTCACGGGCAAGAGCAGATCCGTACCTATAGGACCACCCTGCCGGTGATAAGCTCGGAGGCCGCCTCGAGTCTCCCCCGCCGTTTCGCCCTCTCAAGGACTGGGCCAGCAGGAGCCTGATCCGAGAGAGCAGGACCCCGAGATAGAGGCCCCCGAGGAGCAGGAATGTATCGATCAACAAGAACACTAGAACCATCGCGCGCTTCGCGCGCGCTCAAGTTCTAGCTAGGCTGGGTGGTCGAACTCTTAGGGCTTCCTGTTGGGCTTCCGGGAGCCCAGGACTGGAAATGTTCGTTCGGCCCCCGCCTGGACCGCTGGGCTCTTGGGGGCCTCTTTCCGGCCTCCTGGATGCTGCTTGAGGCGGCTTGGGGGCCTCTTGGGGGCCTCTTGGGCTCTCTTGGGGGTCTTTTGGGGCCTCCTCGGAGCATCCTGGACTGCTTCTTGAAGTCGTCGTGGGACCTTCTTGGCATGTCCTCGGGGGCCTCTTAGAAAGAGTTTTGAAGCCTTTTGGGTACCGTCCGTGTTGGGGCCTCTTGGAGCCTCTTTTGGGCTTCTTGGGGGCCTCTTGGGGCCTCTTGGGGGCCTCTTGGGGCTTCCCAGGGGCCTCTTGAGGCCTCTTGGGGACATCATGGGGCGGAGAGCTTGATTTTTCAGTTCGCGTTCCCTCTCTTGGGCCCCTCTTGGGGCCTTCTTGGAGCCCTCTTGGGGGCCTCTTGGGGCCCCTTGAGGGCCTCTTGGGGCCTCTTGGGGGCGTCCCGGGGGCCTCTTGGGGCCTCTTGGGGCGGAGAGCTTGATTTTTCAGTTCGCGCTCCCTCTCTTGGGCCCCTCTTGGGGCCTTCTTGGGACCCTCTTGCGACGTCTTGGGCGGCTCTGGGGCCGTCTCGGGGCTCTTTTGGGCCGTCTTGGGGCCCTCTTGGGCCGTCTTGGAGCGGTTTTGAGAGCCTCTTGGGCAGTGCTTTAGCGCCGGAAACACGAAACAGCAATAATGCAAAACACATTGAAACAAATCTATGAACATCAACGATTTTGCCCTCTCCAGGCGCTTTTGGGCGGCATCCTGAAGGCCTCTTGGGGTGTCTTGGCGGCCTCCGGGACAATTTGAACCGCATCGCGCGGCTTCTTGGGGGCCTCTTGGGGCCTCTTGGGGGCGTCCTGGGGGCCTCTTGGGGCCTCTTGGGGGCATCTTGGGGCGGAGAGCTTCATTTTTCAATTTGCGTTCCCTCTCTTGGGCGCCTTCTGCGGCCTTCTTGGGATCCTCTTGCGCCGTCTTGGGCGGCTCTGGGGCCGTCTCGGGGCTCTCTTGGGCCGTTTTGGGGGCCCTCGGGGGCCTCTTGGGCCGCCTGGGGGCGGGTTGGGGAGCCTCTTGGGTGGTGCTGTAGCGCCGGAAACACGAAACAGCGAGAATGCAAAAAACATTGAACACATCCACGAAAGTCAGAGATTTTGCCATCTCGGGGCGCTCTTGGGCGGCATCCTACAGGCCTCTTGGGACATCTTGGGGGCATCTTGGGGCAGTTTAAAACACATCGTGCAGCCTCTTGGGGGCTTCCTGGGGGCCTCTTGGGGCCTCTTGGGGGCATCTTGGGGCGGAGAGCTTGATTTTTCAGTTCGCGTTCCCTCTCTTGGGCACTTCTTGGGACCCTCTTGCGCCGCCTTGGGTGGCTCTGGGGCCGTCTCGGGGCTCTCTTGGGCCGCCTTGGGGCCCTCTTGGCTCTTGGGGGCGTCTTGGGCCGTCTGGGAGCGGTTTTGAAAGCCTCTTGGGCGGTGCCTTAGCGCCGCAAACACGAAACAGGGAGAATGCAAAAAACATTGAACAAATCTAGCCTCTCGGGGCGTCTTGGGGGCCTCCGGGGCGATTTAAAACGCATCGTGGGTCGCCAGAGACCCCTGGACGGCGTCTTGGGGGTGTCTCGAGACCGTCTGGGGCCGCTGGGATTGCTGTCTGAGGGCTCCCCGGGGCGATTTGAGGCCTCCCAGAAGCGGGCCGGGGCCCCGGGCCCCCCTGTCCCCCGCCCTCGCCTGCCCCTCCTCCTCCGCCTCCGCCCGCTCTCGGAGTTGCAGGAACGAATCTGTTCGAACCGCCAGCAGGCGCGCGAGCGCAGGATCGCACGGCTTTAAGCCGCCCACGGTGCGCGGGCGCCCTGGTCGGCACCAGGAGGGGTGCTACGAGGCGGGTTTTTCTCTTCCGCCACCTCCTCCCATCCTCAGAGCATTTCTGGATGGGAAGCAAATCTTCCTTTTTCGACTCTGTCCGCTGCTATTAAATCCATTTCGGCCTCGTTTGCTGCTGTCGCTGCTGCCAGGCAAAGACCCCCTCCTTCTCCTCCTCCTCCTCCTCCTCCTCCTCCTCCTCTTCTTATGACGATTATTCTTCTTCTGTTTGTTATTACTATATCCTATTATCAGTGTTCGTAGTATTGTTGTATTTCTTCTTATTATGATGAGTACGATGATGATGATGATGAAGATAATAATAATGATGATGATGCTTCTTATTATCAATATTCTTAATCAGTATTATTGCTAGTATTATTATTCTTAATAATATCATTATTATTATTAGTAGTAGTAGTAGTAGTAGTCGTAGTAGTAGTATGTTAGTATGGTAGCAGCAGCAGCAGCAGCAGCAGCAGCAGTAGCAGTAGCAGTAGTAGCAGTAGCAGTAGCAGTAGCAGTAGTAGTAGTAGTAGTAGTAGTAGTAGTAGTAGTAGTAGTAGTAATAGTAGTAGTAGTTGTAGTAGTAGTAGTAGTAGTAGTAGTAGTAGTAGTAGTAGTAGTAGTAGTAGTAGGAGCAGCAGCAGCAGCAGCACTACTAGTAGTAGTAGTAGTAGTAGTAGTAGTAGTAGTAGTAGTAGTAGTAGTAGTAGTAGTAGTAGTAGTAGTAGTAGTAGTAGTAGTAGTAGTGGTAGTTCGTCTTCTTCGTCTTATTATGTTTTATGTTTATGCTTATGCTTCTGATTATGCTTCTGCTTCTGCTTCTGCTTCTGCTTCGTCTTCTTCTTCTTCGTCCTCCTCCTCCTCCTCCTCCCCTAACGTTGTCCCTGAAGGTTGTCCCAGGAGCCTGCCCGAGGCTGGCGCGGCGGGCCCTCCGCCAGCGCTCGGAGCTGGGGCAGCCTCCTTTCCAGCGGTATTTATCGCCAGCGGCGCGCCCGCGCCGGCCGTCGGCGCGGCCGTCGCGGCCGCCGCGGCCGCCGCGGGCGAGGGCGCCTTGCGGAAGTCGTTTTCATGGATTCTCGGAGGCCTGCAAATTGGCACCAACACCAGCACAGGGGGTGTCTCCACCGGAGGGAGATGATCTTCGATATTTTGGAGCTGGTGGCAATCTTTCGGCCACCCAAGATGCCCGAATCTTATCATCATCACCGAGATCGGGCCCATCTTCCCTCGGTGGAGGCAGCCACTGATACTGATGGTAGTGCCAACCTCTCTGAATGCTGTCCCCTTCCCCGACTTGCACAATGAAGATTTCGACCTTCTGGGTCGATCCTGCGGAGCAGGAGTGGCGCCGAGCGCAGAGGATATGACCAGGGCTGGACCCCTCGAAGACCCAATACATCCATCAATCACGGAGCAGGATCGATCAGCATCGAATCGGGAGATCGGACCGAATCGAGAATGCGTGTCGGATGGGGCTGCAACGGCTCGGGGTCGAATCGCATCGGCTACGATCGGCTGCGCAAGGACGCACAGCAACGCCGTGCGGCAGCCGGGAATCGGACCGGGCCAGCCGGCATCGCTACCGAAGCGGATCGAAAGGAGCCCTGCCTTGCGGGCGCCAGCTGCTTGCGAGGGGGCGGCATTCCCAGGAGGGCGCTCTCGTCCGAGTGCCGTCGGACGTCTTCGTCAGCCCCTGGAGGGTTTCCTGCCTCGGGATGCGCTCCCGCCTCCCTCCTCGTGCAGCACAGCGCACCCGCTTACAGCGTTTGGGCACAAAGTTCCGAGCGCAAGTCACCTCGCTTCGCGCACCGCGCCCCGCGGTGCGCGACGCGCGGCCGTGGCCGCGCCCCCCGGCGCCACACCCCGGAGAGGGGGGCCGCTCTCCGTCCCAGGCCGCGGCGCGCGGGGCGCGGGTGTCCTCGCGCCCCCGCGGGCGACCTCTGGAGCGCTGACACGAAGCCCGTGCTTCCGCCGCCGGGGGCCGCCTGTGCCCCAGACGGCTGGAGGGTGCCCGTCCCCCGCGCGCCGCCGTGGGGGCATAAACCTTCCAGCCGCCCCGGGACAGGCGGCTTTGCTGGCGGAAAAGGATGCAGTCAAGCTACCACCGTAAGGGACGAAGCGCCCTTCCTGGGCCCACGAGCGCCCGGGCGCACGAAGAGAGCTGGAAGAGCAGGGGCCCCCTCCGAACCCGGACTGCTCCTCGCTTCAGCGCCTTGACTGTGCAGCCATCGTGCCTACCACAGGGAACGCTGAATCAAGAACGAGGGGGCTTCTCTGGCCACGGCGAGCCGCGGCCACGAAGAGGCTCCCCGACCCAGATCTGAGGAACGGCTCTCCAACCAGAGCCCCCCCCTGAACCCAAAGTGGTCCTTGCACCAGCGTCTTGGCTGTGTACACCCTGCGAAATGCTTAAGAAATCATGGGTTAAGAAATTCATGGTCTCAGAAATTGAATAAAACCCAGAACTTCTATCAAAATCTTGGGGTTTACATTGAAAAGTTAAGAATAATCGAGACTCTGGACGAAAACTTAGGTTTTCTTAAGCATCGCCTAAGGTGTATGCTGCCTCTGTCTGCTACAGCTGGCGCTGGCGGCAACCGCCCGGAGCGCCTCGACAGCGCTGGCGGCCGGCGCGCTGGCCGCGGCCGCCGCCGCGGCTCGCCTCTGGGAGACAGCGCCGGCCGCGATGGCGACGTGCTGCACCATCCGCCTTCGGAAGTCCGCCCGCCGTCGTCGCCGTCGTCGTCGTCGTCGTCGTCGTCGTCGTCGTCGTCGTCGTCGTCGTCGTCGTTGCCGTCGTTGCCGATCGTCGATTCCTCCCTGTGCCCGCGCCGGCGCCTGGCGGCCTCTGCGTCCACGCGCAGACGCGTGGCGGCAGCCTGGCGGGCGGCGAGCTCGTCCCTCGCCGACCTGACCTTCTTGAAGTACACCTGGGAACGGCAAGGAGGTGGGGGAGTCGGGGAACCCCAGATGATCGAACGCCTCCACTTTGGAGGTTGAGCCTCCAGAGTGGAGGAAAAGACTGACCCCCCTTTCGAACGCAGTTGACCCTCTGGGGAGGCCCTTTGAACGCCCTTTTGGCCTTTTCGGCGTTGTTTCACGGGGGCGATCAGTGGGGGGGGAGAAACGTGCACCTTTCGTGCCCCTGTTGGGCCCCAGGGAGCTTTTGTGGGGCCCCTCCAGGGCACAAACAAAAATAACCCTTCTCCGCCCCTCTGTCGGTCGCCCCCCAGCACACGAAGCCCGATCCTCCCTCCTCCGAGGCTCTCCGGAGGCCTCCGGGGACCTCCGCGGGGACCTGCGCGGGAGCTCTGGAGGCCTCCGGAGGAGGGGGGGCCTCACGAGGCCCGATCCTCCCTTCTCCGAGGCTCTCCGGAGGCCTCCGGGGACCTCCGCGGGGACCTGCGCGGGAGCTCTGGAGGCCTCCGGAGGAGGGGGGGGAAACCTCGCTGCGCGGCGGCGCGGCGCCCTCGCGCGGGGTGTCACGCGGGCCGCCGGCGCAGGGCACGCCACGCGCGAGGTGCCCCGCAGCGGCTGCCTGGGTCTTCGCGCGCGAAAACTTAAGTCGGGCCTGTCCCCCTACAGGGGGATTTTCTACGAAAAATCCGCCGACCCTGTCGACGTGTGTGAGGGGCTTCTCCGTTCGACTCGTCGTCTCCGTCGTCTCCGTTCTCCCCCTCCCAGGGCTCTCCTCCTCAAGCGCGCTATCCAAAGCGAAATTAAACGACGTCGTAGTGGAGTCGAAGGGAAGCCCTTTCCCTTTTGATCCTTCCCCGCAGGGGGGGGGAGGGGGAGGGGGGGAGGGGGAGTTAGAATTCTGATGTATGATAGGTTTCTCCAGCGGGTCCTGCAAAGAGTCTCTTAGGAGCCCCGGACGATCCGTCCCAAAGTATGGTTTCTAGGCTAAGCGCTTGCCTGCCTGCCTGCTGTTTCGTTACGTACTATAGCCGTTTGGCTTAGAGGAAAGACATCAAAGATATCTTAATGTTTCTCTGACGACTGATATTTGATTCTCATTCATATCTATTATTGGATACGATTCTCATCGATATCCCGAGTTTGGTAGCGGAGCCTCTACGGAGGCTCCTTCCACGGACCGCACGCACACGCGCGCGCACGGTCAGGCGACCACCGCAGACCGACTTGGATCACACGTACGTCAGTTACTATCAGATTGGACGGTACCAGATTTACATCAGTTACCGACACAACGCGGATTGGTTTCTACAATAAGTACCGACACATTACGGATTGGTTTCGAGAACATTGATTCGTTGACCAAATCACAGACACAATGCAGCAGACAACGGCATCTTCGCAGCTTGGTCTTCGGCAGTACACAAAAGACGTGCCCCCAGGATGGAGGCCGCGTACTTACCGGATCAAGGAGTACAAAGAATACTTAGCCATCTGGGGCCGCTTGACCAAGCTTGATCAAGAACAGATTGGACCCGCTATCATGTCACGACTCGAAGGAGGAGCTTTACGGATTGCCATAGGACTGACGACTCAGAGGCCTGATCCCGACACCCGTGCGCAGATGACCTACGAAGGAATCGAGGCAGTTTCTCTCGACGCTCAAGACGCCATCGTTGATCCTGCGACGGGAACACAGAAAACACCTCCTGATCCTTCAGGAGTCAAACTGCTGATAGCAAAGCTTACGGAACTTTACTACTTGGACGACCAGGACCTCGCCTGGACGAGCCTTGACAAGTTGTTCTGCTTCACGAAGCCCTACGACATGGACTTCTCAACGTACGTCGTGGAATGGGAGAGACTCTACTCAGAGGCTGAGAGGCACGGAGGCCTCGCTATCGGTGACAGTGGCAAGGCCTGGCTTTTCTTCAGCAGATCAGGAATCGCAGAGCGCCAACTGGCAGATTTGAGACTTAAGGTCCGTGGCGACCTCACTCGCTATAGAGAGATGATTGCATTACAAATGAAGATTTCTAAGAATGAGTCTGCCAGCTACGACCAGTCTCACGGATACAAGCAGTACAACACGGAGGAGTACGATGAAGACGACTGGAATGACGAAGAGTACTGGAACGAGGATGATGACTGGTGCGACTATGACTCTGGTCGAAACTGGACAAAAGAGGAATAGTATGACGATCAAGAAGGCGATGACTGGCAAGATTGGCAAGAGGACGACGAACGCGGAGATGACTACAGCGACTACTACGGCGGAAAGGGCAAGAAGCAGGGAGGACAATTGCGACGCGGAAAAGGATATGGAGATCAGCAGAACAGCAGAGGACGTGGAAAACGAGCCAGTGGAAATCAGTGCACGGAGTGTGGCAGTAAGTGACATTCTACTGAGCAGTGCCCTATGAAGACGAATTCTGGACCAGGCGGATCCCCAACACAACCTGATGAAGGTCATCATACAGACATGGAGAGACATCAAGATGAAGAAGAGTATTGGAATCGCAAAGGATCTTGGAAGCCTTCTCGCAGAGGATCTCGCGGAAAAGGATGTGATCGTAGACCGCAGACCCCACGCTATCAATCTGGACGAGGAAAAGGACAACGCTTAATGGGCCGCAGTGATTTTGGAAGATTCTCCTTCACAGGCAAGAATAGGAAAGGCAAAGGCAAGAAATCTTCAAATAACAACTTCAAGCAGCGCAGCTACGGCCAGATGCATGCGACCTTTCCTACCACAAGCGCGAAGGACGAAGCACAACATGACCATGACGGTTCATCCGGTTTCGTACCCACCTTGGACTCAGCTGGAGATTGTCTCAAGAAGCAAGAAAAGTCCAAGGCAAGAGAAACATATCAATTGATATTCGGACCGGACCCTCCAGGAGCAACTATACGGGCAAAGACACAAATAACGACATCGACGAGCACATCATCTTCATCGACCGGATCAATGGAGACACGGTACCCACCAGGACTTCATGAACCACTCTACGTTCTTTTGACATCGACGAGCCTGGACGCGCCGAGGATTTGCCATGCTTGTTGGAAGACTTCTACATCGACGTGCGATATGTGCCAGAAGCAATGCTGTTTGGATCATTCGTTTCTCTTCTCAACAAACAGCAAGATCTTGTGCTTCGACTGCACGGCCAACCGCGTCAAGGACGCTGCCGATGTCGAAGGCGACTCTAATGCAGGACCATCGGCAGCGTCGAGTCCTACTTTAAGCAGGACACCATCATCATGGATGAAGATTGGATCAATCCCCGAGGCAACCTTCGAAGACGACGATGAAGAAGTCAAGGAAGTTCATCTCGCCGCGGCATCTCATGAACATGGAAGCTTCATTGCCAAGGGCACGGTTTTCCAGAGCGACCGATTTCACAACTTTACGGTGATAAGAGGCATCAAAACATATGGATTGCTGATAGACCCTGGAGCTTCGAGAGGACTGATTGGCACAGACTTGCTGATAGACCCTGGAGCTTCGAGAGGACTGATTGGCACAGACACTCTCTCAGACATCGTCACACAAATCCTCAGACCCAGGCGTCTTGATAAGTTTGTGAAGTGGAAGCCCAGCATCAACAAGTTCACCGGCATCACGGCAGACCCACAGAAGTCATTGTCATTGGTAAGTTTTCCCATCGGATTGCAAGGCATCAAGAACGCAGCGTTCGCAGCCGACGTTCTTGGAGGAATATCATCGAGATGCCCTGGCTTGGTTCCTCTGGTTAGTTTACTCAATGCTGGATGTATCATATGTTGTGGATATTTTGCTAACAATGACGGCCTGCTCGGTATTAGAACTACGGATGGTTCGATTTGTTCTCAGAGATTGTTATTAACTGATTCTGGACAGTAGCTGTTACCGATCGATCAGTTCCACAAGCCACGTGACTGGGGACAAGACCGACCCGCGAAGAATGAGAAGCAGCAGCTTGGACGAGCAGCACGGCGACAACTACCGCCATCCAGTACTATGGACTTCTACTCATACCAGCAGCATTCCCAGAGTTCACCGGTATCGACGGCATTCGTGGCAGGACTCTACGCGGAGAATGATGATGAAGATGCGGCCACGAGACCGACGCTTTTTCAATAGGTCCTGAGCATGACGAGAAACTGTTGCCACGAGTTGCACTCATTCCAGAATCCAATTGTCCAGCGATATCTTTACGCATGGAGTACTATTTCGGCACCACGCTGGACTGGAACGCCCATGTTTCCATCAACTCTTTCTTCAGACGAGCTTATCGAGGCCAACAGTGCGTTCAAGGCTCTCCCGGAGATGTTCTATCTACACTACACTTAAGGACCTACCTGTCATTATTCCTTCCAGTTTTCCCATGTTTCAGACCATTCTCTTGGAATTCTTAAGTGATGGAAGCTTCGGAGACCCATTCCCAATAATTTCGCTATGGACGTGGTGTTCAGGATCATCAAGACTCGCATTGATCATGCTCTCTGCACCCTTCAACCAGCTCGTTGTATTTCCTGTGGACCTGCGCTATGGCTGGGATCTACGCCTACCTGAACATCAGCAACTGCTACGTACAGCCGATCGACAATTCTCCCCAATGGTGACCACATACGAACCAAGATGCAAGTACTGGAGTCGAATGGGCAGTAGCAGAAATCCAGAAGTTACTGCAGAAAAGAGACATCAGGAGACCGACATGCTGAAATTCACCTTGCAGATTGCTTGCGACAATGTCCAGCAACATCGACACGGACTGCTCGAGAACCCCATGTCTTCAACAATATTGACCAAATCACCATTGGCAGCATTGCAGTACCACGACAAGTTCAACGACCATACCTACTCCACGGATATGTGTCGTTTTTCTCCTCTTCCAGATGGACAGCGTTACCGGAAGGAGATAAAGCTCAAGAGTTCCTTCAAGTTGACAAATTATGTTGGGAAGTGTAGATGTTATTATGGACATGAACAACTTGAAGGCTACGATCGAGAACACCACAGGAAAGGAAGAGC